TGATGTTATAAAAGCCCCACTACTTTCGAAAGGGCTGACTCAAGTATGGAACAAAATTACGGAGAACCATGAGAATTGAATATATGGCTTGAGAGAAGTCAGAATAAGGTCAATGTGGGAGACAATAACAGTGATATTGATATTCAATCATTATTTCAGCACATAATGTAAACAAAAATAATCAATCCCATTTTTTCATCTATTGAAAATATTAACAAATGATTGTAATATGTTAAAAGCATCAAGTATATATTAAATGAGTCATCAAATAAAACTACAAACAAATACAAATCACGTTGATTCAAACTGGCAAAAATACAACCTTCACTCGTCACGATCTCCTATTGCCACAACCATTCTTAAATATTCTACACATGTGACTGTGTGTGTATTCACAACCTTTCCAATTCACATCAAAAGACCAATGCCACATATATTTTTATAGCAAAGTCTAAGACACCAAATCATATATAAAAACATCAAAGAATACAATTCTTGAATATTTGAAGTTATATCAATCTTGATTTGAAAAGTAGTACCCCTATTGTTAGAAATGTGGAAATCTAATAGTGAGAACAGTGTCCTAAACATCAAATGCACGTCGATGACTTTGAAAATATCGATTATGTTGGAAAATTGTAGAGTCATTGTATAGTTAACACATACTAAACAACGACCATTGTAGGTGTTGAAGGCGAAGTCAAAGAAAAATATGACATGGCTTAGGGTAAAGTTGAGAGTCATATATAGTGAGTATTAATACATTAATTACGCGATATATATAGTCGGCTATATATAATGATTATATCCTCATATATTTCCTGTGCTACTAGTTCTCCGACAATCTTTTGAAAACAAATTTCGAGGCTCCTCCTGAATCTAGTTCTAGGCCCACTGCAATTGATATGAACCAACCAGTTCTCTTAAAACTAAGACATAACAAAAAGACTTGATCAATTTTATGGTTTTGTTTTCTTTGTTTCTAGAATGCTATTGGGTTCATATCAATTATGGTGGGCCAAGATCACTACCACTAGAAAAAGCAATTTGCAAAGCGGATCTAGGTTCAGGTGAATTCGCAAAATTTGTTCCTCCAAGTGATTATTGGGGAACAAGTAGCACTGGAAATGTATGTGGACGTGATCATACTATAGCCGACTATATCTCAACTAATGTATTTATACTCAATATCAATGACTCTTAACTTTACACAGTCTATCAATTGCTATATATGGTCATTGCTTAGTAAATGGAAACTGTAGTTACGTATTTCACTCTGGGATGGTGTTGCGCGATTGGGATTTCAATTGCACCGGTTGAGACTAAAGCTCCAGTCTCATTTCCCCATTTATGTTTTCTGTTTCCTGAACTGCAGGATGATATCAAACACTTACCAAATTATTTAACTTCATGCGAAAGTTGAGTGGACATAAAAAAGAAGTAATATGAATACCAATCTAATAAATCACAATTTCGAAAAAGAAAAGCAAGGAAACAATTAAAGAACAAAAGAACTACCTTCATCTTGAACAAGTGTTCCAGCTTGTGTTTGAATGCCAGATGAGATCGATGTTTCAGAGAAGACAATTGTCACACAATGAGCGTATAGAGTAAAACAAAAGCATTGGAGTTGATTTGAAAATCATCAACACTAAATCTAAGTAATTCTGGTAACATCAATCTTGATGTTTATAATGTGATGAAACCGGGCTTATTTCATTTAATGTGATTTATTATCAACCATGCTGTGCACCATTCCGCCATGATCATCCGTCCATTTAAAAGCTAGCTAGGTACAATTAATGCTTCATTATGACTGAGCCAAACAAAACATACAGAAAATTTAAATCCAAAGTATGGGAAAGCACTGCAGAAAATTTATTATACCAACATCAACAAACACAAAGAAAGTGAAATTTCTATGAGATACGTACAGAAGATCACAAAAAAGGAAATGATAGCACATAGCATCAAGCATGGTGCATGTACATGTGCAATCCTACATACACTTAACAGATCATCCCAATTAATGCATCATATTATGAGGGAAATTAAATATATTTATAACTAAATAACTTTCATATGTTTTTGACTTCCTTTGATAATACATGAAATTGAACTATTACAAACACGATAATAAAAAACTCTTTTTTTCTTTCGAAAATCTCTGAGGAAAAAAATAGTCACAATTCTGACAAAATACCTACACAAAGGAAATTCCGACACAATCCTTACATGCTTTTTTTTTCAATTCATACATATACTGTGTTTCTATTAAAAAAACAAATTCTCAAAGGTTAAATTAATAATAATAATAATAATAATAATAATAATAATAATAATAATAATAATAATAATAAATAAAATAAACCATTCAATAGTTAAACCAAAAAAAAGGAAAAATTACAATTGTGTACATGTTTATGGAATTGGCATATTGCTGAAATTGCTAATACTCACTCTCGGCAACACCGTTGTTAGACCTTAACCATGATGTGCTATTTTTAATCATAATGCAATTGAGAGCCATTGATTTTCATTAATTTAGGGCGACCATCTAAAAAAATATCATATTACCTTTAGAAAAGGTTGCAGGTCATAGCATAATGTTAATTAAATCACCTTTGCAAAATGCAAAGTCTTAGAGGTTATTCGTGCTTTGTAACAAAGAAGTCCATGGAATCCAGACAGACATATTTTGGGCCTATAGCGAATGGCCGGTCCAGACATATTTTGGGCCTATAGCCAGAAGAAAAAAAAGGTTTTGGCTTCATGTTTTCTTTGGTGGTCATCATATATATCTTCCTTTTATGAGTGCGAAATGGAGGCATCAAAACCTTCAAAATTAAGATTTCGCAATTATAAGATATTGAAAAATTCCGTTTTAAATTGTAACCATACCAATTGACAAAGACGAAAAGGAACATATTTTATTGAACAAAACCTCTATAGCAAAGATAACTTGCATAGTAAATTATCCCAAGTTAGTTCTAGCCTACGGTAGTGATGCCTACTGATAAATTGTTCATAACTTCATATATAGTTCAACTTCTGTTCCTTTTTAATGTTCGTTGGTGGTGAGAAAATTGTTTGGAGGTTATACGCATAAAGGCTTGTCTCCTTTTTTAATATGGATAATTGTAATCACATGTATGTCTCATGTTAACATCATTTACTCATTGTTTCATTATACCCTTCGATACTTTGAGAATTATACTCCCTTCCTCCATATTTATAATTCATGTTTTCTTTTTTGAGTTGTCTCAAAATAATAGTCTATTTTTTAAAATAAATATCTTTTTTTACCAAAATGTCTCTCACTATTACTTAGACCAACCAAAACATTTAATGATGAATTTAAATGCAAGAAAAATCATACTTTTTCCCTTTTTTTTTGTTTACTTCTGTGCGTATCTCTATAAACTTAAATGTTTTTTTTCCTTTTTTAGTACTTTGCATATCACAAAATACACACGATGGCATTGACTTTTTTTTTTTTTTTTTAAATTGTATCTTTTGTTCCTTCCCTGTGATTCTCTGCACAATTGAATGTTTGTGTGTGTGTGTTTTTTTACTTTTCATATCACAAAAGTACAACACTTAGAAAGACATCATAACAAAAATACAAGTACTTAATTTCATTATCTTTTCATAACAAAAATACAAGTACTTAATTTCATTATCTTTTCAAAACAAAAATACAAGTAGTTAATTCCATTCAAAAAACCATCAGTCAAATTTCGATCACTACACTTGTTTCTAAATTAACTAAGCACCCAAATGCAATAGAGCTTCGTCTATCAAATTTTGATCACATTCGATTTGGAGTGGTAAGTTGCATTCTCGTCCCAACCTATTCTTACCAATATGCAGTATTTGATAGCTGTTGCCACCTTGAACCTTTATGATTTCTCTAATACATGTTTGTAGAGTTAGAAATATGTTGTTACGTTGTTGAGATTGCATTCTTTCAAAAGATGTTTGAACCGCATGAATCAATTCATCAATTGTACCTAAAGCTAAAATAACTTACCATTGCACGACGAAGAAAGTTAAAATAATCTACATACAATAGAAAAAAAACTAATCATTAATAATAAAATATGTTAATAGTTGTTTATATACAACATTTGATATTTTTTGGAATTTTATGATCGTTATTTTTAATTAGAAATAATTATGATTAGTAACCTTTGAAAAGTTCAAAGAGTTCAAACAAGAAGTCGAGAATCAATTGGGCAGTAAGATCAAGATGCTCAGATCTGATAGAGGTGGTGAGTATTTTAGTATCGAATTCCATGACTACCTCAAGGAATGTGGAATAGTTTCACAATTGACACCTCCTACGACACCGTAACTTAATGGTGTGGCTGAGAGGCGTAATTGAAGGTTTCACTTCCAATCTCATTTTGGGGGTATGCCTTAAAGACTGTCGCCCACATTCTTAATCTTGTCCAAACAAGGAAGGTTGCCAAAACACCTTACGAGATGTGGACAGGGAAGGTTCCCTCGTTGGCACATATCAAGGATTGGGGTTGTGAAGCTTTCGTTAGACGAGAGACTCACGACAAACTTGAACCTCGAAGTGAGAGATGTGTTTTCATCGGCTACCCACAAAAGTCCTTTGGATATTTTTTCTACAGACCCAGTGACAATGTAGTTTTTGTAGCGCGAAGGGGAGTCTTTCGTGAGAGAGAGATCATATCCAAAGAGGACAGTGGGAGTACAACTGA